TCTGTCTATCTGTCTGTCTGTCTGTCTTCCTGAATCTGTCTATCTGTCTGCCTGAATATATCTATCTATCTATCTATCTATCTATCTATCTATCTATCTATCTATCTATCTATCTATCTATCTGTCTGTCTGTCTGTCTGTCTGTATGTCTGTCTGTCTGTCTGTCTGTCTGTCTGCCTGACTCTATCCATCTATGTATCTATCTATCCATCTATGTATCTATCTATCTGTCTGTCTGTACGGATGGATTGTCTTTCTTTGTCTATCATTTTGTCCAAACTGAAAAAGTTGCAAAACAAATACAAATGTAAAATTTTGCTGTATTTTCTCAGCATTTTTATTTAAATTCATGCAGATTTCATGAAATGAAGAACAAGCTTGTGTCTCTATATTTTGTATGATACTATCGACTACATTTAGAGCATATTTTGTTGTTTCAAATCTAAAAGTTTTGATACTTAAGATGATCCTCTCACCTGTCTTCTGGATGCTGCAGTCGTGCTGGAGCAGCGGCTGGAATTCTTTATCTTGTTCTTTTGGGCTTTGGAGAAGTTGTCTTGCCCGTTCTTGTCCGACGGAAGAGGATTAAGAAACAAGATTCTCGCAATGAGGCCGTACAGGACAGTAGCAAGAGTAAGCGGCAGAACAAAAAATATGCCAAAATCGAAAAAATATATGGGCAGGTAAAGGTTTCTGGACACTTTGTAAGCGCACGTTATTATAGTGACATCTCTGTAGAGCACCTGTTGGATATCGGATAGGTAAAACCACATTACGCAGTAAAGCGATGTGAAAACCCAAACTCCAAAAATAATCTTCTTCGCGCGCGAGAGCGTGCATAAAAACTGCGCTTTGATCGGGTGACATATGGCGATGTATCGCTCTATAGTGAACGCTGTTATGGAGCACGAGGATGCGTTGATTCCTAGATATTGAAAGTATGTGATGCACAAGCACCCCGCGTGCCCAAAAATCCATGAACCGAACAAACTGTCCGCAATGCTCGGCAGACCGGCTGCGATCAACACCATCAGGTCTGCGACAGCCAAACTAACCAGATAGCCATTGGTCGGGGTCCGCATATGTTTGGTGGTGAGAACCACCAGGATGACCATCACGTTTCCAACTATCCCGAGAGCGCATATGAAGAAAACTATGAGGACGCTGATCGCCTTGTATTCGACACTGCGGTCAGTCCAAGTTCCCAGAGTCTCGTTGAATACTGTGAAATTCTCCATTCTCAAAAAATCTCGTTCTTTAAAAAAACAAAAACAAAAATCAGATTAAAAAGATTTTTAATTCCGTTGACATAATTAAATACGGTTCATCCCTCTTAGAACTTTGCTTGTGCTTGATTTGTGAGCTCGGTTCTTGTTTTGTATTTGCTCATCAGAGAAAACGAATTTGTATTAATTTACAATATTACATTTGAACATAAATCACATAATCGATCTCCAGAGTTGATTCTCCTCTAACTGTAATGGAATAGACCGAAGGCAGATGTGCTCTCTGCTGTTGCTGTAGATCAGATGATGGATCTTCTGAACATGGTGCTGAATTTAGTCTCGCTTTTAGATGCGTGATCCGAAAAGGGGGCGTTTTACGAACGCATACAATTCAGTCAAATTAGTTCGAGTGTTTTCAATTATCCTATGACCTTGGTACATTTTTATGAGAGAAAATCTAAGCTTAAGCTATTTTGGATACGTTTTAAACAAAAGTTTCCCCCCCCAAATATTTCAATAAATAACTCTGTAATGTGATACTATTTTGTCGTTTTCTCGTTCTATAATAAACGTAAATGCTCGAGCAGCGTGTTGCTATGGTTGGGAGAACCGGGGCGAAAGTAACAAAGCGATTTTCTCAGAGACCTGATTACATTTTCATTCCAAACTATGACAGCACGTTCCAACTACTGCGGTCAAGCCAGCCGCACCATTTTTTGTTCTGCGCGTGTAATTGTGCACTTACGGTACGGGTGCTGAGAGCAGTAATACATTTTAAAATGAAATCTGATTAATAGGGGCGTGCGGGGGCCGAAATGAACTCGGGACAAAAGTAACAAAGCGATTTTCTCAGAGCCCTGACTTCATTTGCTATGACAACACGTTCAGCACGCAACCCTTGACGGAGCTGCCAAATATGAAGCTGTACTTTTTTTCTAATTACAAGTTGTGTTTCTCGTTTCATGTGTCACAGTAATGATCAGTCTACATGTTATTTAGTGCTGTAACGCATCCTAAAGTTTGCCTCGTCAGAGTTTTTCAGTAAAAAAGTAAATCGGGTTTAAATGTCAGGAGCTCCTTTCGGGACGGAAGTAACACTTGTTACTTTTGTCCCGCTGCTAATGTGGTGACTTTCTGGGTGTTGCAGCATTTATTTATAAAACATGTTTATGTCGATACCAACAGAATATGTCAAGAGTTAGGGTCAGAAAGACAGACAGGGGTCTGATTCAGCCAGATATTTATGAGAGGGCGTTTCTGGACATATCTGACAGGAACATCAGTCTCAGGGCAGCTGTTAAGTCGCATGGCATATGTCATGTCACTTTGCTCAGATAGCCTACTGCAGGAGGAGGGCAGAGACCAGTAGGGAGAAGACTAGACCACCAGGGTACAGATCACATTCTAAAGTCTTCTCTGTGGACCAGGAGAGGAAACTGCAGGCTTATATAAAGAGGGCAGCTGATATTTATTTCGGCCTGTCTCCTAAGGAGGTCAGTGTAGTACAGCAAAAACACTCAACATGCAGCTCACTCACACTGCTCTTACTAAAACTATTTTAAATGCTTATCAAAATGTGAGATTTGTGTATTCTTTAAATATATTTTTCATTTTTATCTTAATTTTATTTTTATTGACACTTTTGTCCTATCTTTCTAAATTATGTTTCATTTTCCACTGTCTCTGAAGCTGCTGCAACATATAAAAATCCCCAGTGCAGGATCAGTAAAGTCTTATTTTATCTTAATTAGGGGTGCTCCGATCAGGGTTTTTGAGGCCGATCACCGATCGCCGATCACAGAAAGCAGTATCTGCCGATACCGATAACTGATCTTTTTAAAGCCTTCTTTTTGTCATTTATAACTGTTTATTGTGATACTCCAATCAGGATTTTTAGACATGAAAATGCTTTTTCAGCATTGCAATTTTTTTTTTACACAGTACAGTAATACAATCTTTCACAGACATGTTTAAGCACAATAAAAATAAGCAACACATTCAATGCTTTTTACTTTTGCATTTACTTCTAGATTTATATATTAAGTTGCTCAAGCAATTGGCAAAACATTTAAACTACTTTTCTTACGTCATCACAACCTTACCATTGACAGAAATAGACAGCTCTGCTGCCTTTTCTTTTGCATTGAAATCTTTATTACAAGCAATCCTGCGGTTCATAAAGAACTTTGTTTTCCTACCTCCACAAATGCCATCTATTATTGCCTTCTTTATCTAAAAGTGCTCTTTCCCTTTAAACCTAGCCAAAAAGCCATGTAGACTGTGAAACACAGTAGACTTTAATAATATGCATTTATGGTGTAATTACTACATTTTCGTGTCAATCCATGTTCATATTTACTGCAAACAATGCGCTGTTACTTTAATTCAGCACTTGCAGAGCAGCAGTAGTGCACTGTTGCAGACGCGCTGTCGGACAGCAACCGTGTGCAGTGCTCACGCTTTAATCCGTTCACATGAGCGTGGAAAAAATACGCACCACGTATGCACTGCAAACGGAGTAATGTGAACCTGGCGTTATGTGTGCGCGCTGCGAGTGTGCATGAGCGCACGGTCTCCAGGAGAAAAGATGAGTACCTCACCTTCAGTATTATAATGATTTCACCCGCGCCAGACAGAGACTGAGACGGTGCCTCTGCATGTTGCGCCAAACCTCTCGTCATCAGCTTGAGTTTGGTTTTTTTGAGATGTTTTTTTGAGATCGGCCTTTTAGAGACCGCCGATCGATCATCCCAACGTGATTATCGGCCGATATTGATCGGTAGCCGATCAATCGGAGCACCCCTAATCTTAATCATATCATAAACAATCTCCATCTAACCATTTTTTTATGTTTTAGGTGCGCAAATTTGCATACGAATTGGCCAGCAGATATGGCTGCAAATATCCAGATGTATGGGATGCCACCAAGATGGTGGGAAAGGACTGGCTCACCTCCCTCCTTAAACGCAACAATACATGGTCTATTAGCCGACCTCAAGCCACCAGCATGTCCCGTTCCACCAGCTTCAATAAAACAAATGTGACTGCTTTTTATAACAACCTGCAGACAGTTCTTGCCTGCTACCTTGAGCTGGATGAAACAGGTCAATTTAACAATTCATTAAAACTAAAAAGCTAGAGTGATTCAGTGGTTTAAAATACACAAGACAAATTCATTGCTATGTAAAATTTAATAACATATATAAACTATAGGCGTTGATATATGTCACGAATCCAGTCTATGAACTTCCTTTCACTCACCACCAGAGGTCACCCGCTCACTACATTGACTCTCACACTAAACAGACTGTTACACATCACCCTGGACTACATTTCCCATGCTCCATTGCACTAATTACAATCTCACCTGAAACCAATCACACACCACCTTTCAACGCGGAGTATTGTTTAGCGCATATCACTCACCTAGCGATAGCTACTCTATGGAGCCATTTCTAGTTTTCTTAGTCTTAGTCTTAGTCTTAGTCTTAGTCTTAGTCTTGCCTGGCCTGGCTTCTCGTGTTCTGATTCCTGCCTGTGTTTCTCGGTTTGCCCTTTTGTCTCACCGTTCGGACTCTGTTTGCTCCTGCCTGGACTATTGCTCATTTCTGTGGCAGCAATTGACTTTTGTCGGTCAAACGGCATAGTCCTACTATCGTTCCCACCCCACTGCTCACATTGTCTCAGCCACTTGACAGGAGTGTCTTCGGTCCACTGAAGCAATATATAAACACGGCAGCAGATCACTGGATGAGAACACATCCTGGAAAAACTTTGACCATCCATGATATTCCAAGCCTACTGGCCGCAGCTCTGCCACGAGCAGCGACACCCAGAAACATAACGTCTGGCTTTGTGTCCACTGGCATTTTCCCCTTTAACCCAGATATTTTTGAGGAGCAAGACTTTTCACCTGCCTATGTCACCGACCACCCATTTCATTCACTGGTACCATGTGGTCCCACACCACATTCCAACAAACACCCAATTAGCCAGAGCCTGTTTGAGGGAGGGCTGCTGCCAGAGTATGGTGGTTCATTCCAGAAGCTGTACATCCCTTTCCTAAGGCTGGTCCAAGAAAGGACACAAAACGAAGAGGCAAAAGGAGGTGAGTGGAATTTGGTTTTTGCTTTGTCCCGAGTAATTTCTTTATACATGCTGCTACCATGTGGACAGAGGTATGAGCAATAACTGCCTGTAAATGTATACAAATGTTGACAACAATTTTTCTCACTTTGAATGTTGCAGAGATCCTCACGGACTCTCCGGTGAGGGCAGCTCTGGAGGAGGAGCAAAAGAAGCCGTCCGCTCCAAAGGAATGGCTCCTCACTATCAAAAACACTGCACCCACAGCTTCCCAGAACAAGGATGAGGAATGTCTTGTGTGTGGGGAAGCATTTAACTCATCCTTGCCTGGGGAAGTGTGAGTGCAGTGTCTCTTTTGCCAGCTCTGGTCACATGAGGCATGCACTGAGGGTGCAGAACATTATATCTGTCACAACTGTGACAATGATAGGCAAATGCCTTTTGTTATGTTCGTGTTTGTTTGTACTGTTTATCTGTTAATGCCTGTTAACATTAGTCAGGTTTCCATCCAAATGAAACTCTTTTTGCCACCTGACTCTTCCGGCTCATATGGTATTGTTTCAAACTTTTCCACTGTCTTCTGAGAATATGCCATGGTTTCTCAAAGCCTCTGTCTAACATTTGTTTCTGCAGCCACTGATACATGGAGTTTCTTGGCTGTTTTTGTTTGTTTCTTGGATTATATGCATTCATACTGTTGAAAAAATGTTTTATAAAATGAATTGACATTGCCAATAAACAATCTAAACAATTCAAGTTTATGTCGAGTTACTTTTGATGAAATTCAAGTTTTAAATTAAAATGTAATTTGATAATTTTTTGCAAAGATAAAGGACAAAATATGTTTGCACTTACATATTATCAAGGCCATAGTCAGGTATATTTAATAAAAAATAAGAGTAACACAAAAAAATCTAGCTTGTATT